AAAGGAAAAGACGTCGGGTAACGTAGTCGATAAATTTTTCTTTTAAACGCATATCTACAGAAAGAAGCTAGGCGAAGAAAAAAAAAAAGGAAAAAGTAATTTCTGTTTCCATCATACACGAGAGATAATGCCGGTAAGCATAGTGAAAACAGAAGCATACAAATTAAAGGAAAAAAAACACCTTTTTCAATTTAGAGATACTCTTTTCTTTTTTTTATTATTAGCGTAGTCATGTTTCTCTAATAAAACATCTAGGTTTTGTAATATCATTAAGACTATAAACTTCAAGCAAGTTAGTTAAAGTACATGCATTGCTTAGTTACACTCGCACCATCGCTCTCTGAAAAACAGGAAAAACACATTTTATGGTTCAACATAAAACTATTTTTTGTTTCTTTTAAACGATAACTATCTTTAAAACTGGTAAGTTTAACTGAAAGCTAGTTATTTGTAAGAATAACATAAAATTAGATTTTTTTTCAATATGAAGAGAAAATAAATATTGTTTTTTATATAAAAATAGTTTATTGCGTATGAGTAGAAGTCGTACGGAATGTGTTGTAAGGAAGTTTTGATGCAATAAATGAAATTTGGTGATTAAGTAATGATTTTCGATGTTTTGTTAATGATTTTTCTTGTGAGAATTCATCAATTTTTACACCGAGAAGACGAGCTATTTTTTTTATACTATATAAAGTATGATCGAGATGGAGATTATCAGCAATTAATTGTGATTGAGATGATTCGATATAAATTTGATGAAATAGTGTTTGAAAATGATTTTCTTTTTTTATAAAAAGTATTAAATCATTAATTGAGTTGAATATATGAATATGATCATTATTATTGATAAATTCATGTAGTTGTTCAATTGTCATAGTTGAGAATTTTTTATTACATTTAATTGTTTGAAGAAAATTAAGAAGAGATTGTCGATTATTCCAATTGAGTATAGCATAATATTGTTTATTAGAGTTTAATTTTTGAGATTTTTTCTTATCACTAGATGAGAAATCGATTGAATTAGAATCAAAATTAACATGTCGATCATGAAGTGAATTCATTGACGATAGTTTTGAGATTTTATCTAGAAATGATATTATAAAAAAATTGTATTCTATCAAAAAATACCTGTTGATTGTGATTTAGTTTGTAAATTTTTCCACCATTGACCTAGTCCGTTTATACATGAACATTCTGTAATATATAAACAACATTTCGAACAATACATCGGTGGTATATTGAGATTATCAAGTCGAAAGTTTCTTGTTTTCTGATTGTCATCTGTTATAATAGTTTTTTTAGTATTAAATAAAGATTTCGTAGAACATTGTGTAAATGAGTATATCATATTATATGGAATTTGATATTTTTTTCGAATGAGTTGTTGTTCTTTTTGCCATCGATATCGAAGTTGATGTAAATAATTATAATCATGATGTGTCATGTTTAAATTTTATGTATATATATTTATTCTATTGTCTAGATAATTAGATAACAACAAGAAGTTACTGTTTCTTTGTAGTTTTTTCTATAGAATATAATTTAAAACAATGGAATCGGATCAAGTACAAATGTATTCAATTTCTAACCCAGAGCAATCGACTAATAAAGGTTAGATAAATAATATTTTTGTATTTATTTTAATTAATTTTTATTTTAAAATAGAAAATGTAATACTTCGAGCTCTTACTACTGATCCTAATCGGCATAAACCATTAGCACAACATACATCACCGTCAACAAATCCACCTTCACAAGCAAGATCAACAGCAGATTCTACTTTTGGACAAACACCAACAGCAATGTATACGATTGACACTCAATTTAGACCAATTCCTGAAAAAGTATTGCCAAGACATACCGAAACTAGATTGTATTTTATTAGTCCTAACAATAAGGAACCAATACAATCACCGACTTCACCAGTTAATAAAGAAGGTATATATTTTTATACTTTAGACAAAAAAAAATATAATTTATTTTATGATTCAATTTAGATACTGTCAAACCAGAAGAAGAACCAGTTGCTTTTCTCGAACCTCATGTTATTGCACAGCCGGTTCTTTATAGTATTGTTGGAAACAAATCTATTCCTGCTTATAAAAATCAACCAGTTGCAGCTACAACTACAACTTCTAAACCAACTTCTTCACCTATATTTTATGCAATAACTGGTAGTGCTCAACAGGCAACTATACAGCCGATGGAAGATATTGTACAGGCTCCATCACCAGTAGAAAGTAAACCAGTTATTCTTTATTCAATAATTGGTAATCCGAATACTCAAATACAAATTCAAGAACCACTCAAACAAATACAATCAATTCAAGAACCACCTAAACAAATTCAACCACCGTCACCAAGCCTTTATTCAATTGTTGGTAATCCAAATTCTCGCGTGCAAATTCAAGAATCATTTAAAGAAGAACAACGAGCTCGAGAACCATTGAAACAAATTCAACAATCTTCGCCGAGCTTGTTTTCAATTGTTGGTGGTTCTCATGTGATACCTAAAATTCGAGAACCAGTAAAAGAAAGTTTTCCAATAACGCAAAGCTCTTCACCAAGTCTATATTCAATTATTGGTAAACCAACACTTGGACAACGTATTACAGAAAAGAACAGATTAGCTTCACAGTCTTCGACACAAACAGTTCCATCGAAGTCAGTTGAATCAGCACCAGTTTTATATACAATTGTCATGGACAACCATATGCCAAGTAAAACTTATCGACCTTCATCACCTAAAAGACAGCCCAATGATATGATGTTATATCCATTAATTGGTGATCCGAAAGTTCCTGCATCAATCAAATCTCCTCGTAAAACAGAACCATCACAAACACCACAATTAACTAAAATGCCAATATTATATCCATTGGTTGGCAAACCATTTTCACCAACTCGAGAAAATATGCAGAGTCGATCGAAGTATAATACATCAAGTCTTATAAAAAAAACGATTATATCTTTTTTAATTTAGATCACCTGTACAAAGAAGACAACCATTACCAAAAATAATTTCTAATCGACGTCGTAGTTATGACTATCAAACAGAATCGGATGTTGGAACCACCAAACCTAAACGTCAAGAAAGACCAAAAGGTTTTTTCAAATACAAAAATTTTCTTTTAAATATTAGAATTATTTTCTAATTCTTACTTTAGATCGTTCAATTCCAAAATCAGAAACTATATTTATTCCAAATCCTGAGAACGAACGTTCACGACGTCCTAAACAACCACGTTCAAATCCTAGATATAGAAGTCCTGCACAAATAAATCATCGAGCTTTTGCAATTCCACAATATGAAGGAGTTCACTTAAATGATTATATTTCGCCTTATGCTTATTATCCATCAAAACCGTATCGTGAACGAACAACTCATCCAAGTTCATTACCAATTGTAACGAGTCGTCGTTCTAATCATAAATCAAGGACACCAATGCAAGAATCTCATCCTCAAGCCGAAAGAAAACATCAACATGACCCTTGGAAACATCATTCTTTAGTAAATATTCTAATCATTTTGTTTTCCATTATTAATTCTTATTATTTATTTGTTAATAGGAGCGATATCCTGCGAATTCAAGTCGTCAACCTCGATTATGGGATCATGAAAATCATAATCATACAGACAATGAAGATGATTATACTGATGACACAGATGAATATGGAGGACGACGATATTATCGAAGATATCGACTACGAACACCCTGGGTGCCTGTTTGGTAATCGAATTAATATCATTTTGCTTACGTATATTGTATAATTATTTTATCAAAATAGAAAAAAAAAGCATTGATGATTAGTATTGATGCTCTTATTAATAATTAATTCTTATTTCATACATATTTATTAAATTTTTTTTCAAAAATATTAATGTTTTTTTTTTCGAATGAATTTTTATCGTTTTGTCATAAAGCTCTTGAATTCTAAAGTTATAAATATATATATATATGTATAATTGATGGAAATTTTAAAAAAAAAGTATATTTATTTTACCTTCGAAAGTAATATTTCCATCATGATTAGTATCAAGTCTTTTAATTAAACCATCGATCTCTACTTCAGCAAGTTGTGGTGACATGCCAAGCATTTTTTGCATTGGTACATAGTATTTTCTTAATTCTTCAACTGTAATTGTTTTATCTTTACTTTTATCAATTTTATCGAATTCTTTTTCGAGTTGATCGTCAGAAAGTGAAGTCATTATAAAATAAATAAACGTGTTAGAATAAAAGTAATACACACATATCTACGAAATTTATCCTCCTGTTTATGCATGACTAGTTTTTTTTGTCGTTATTGTCACTTATAATACTATGTTTTAGGTAAATGCGTAGATGTATATCATAATAAGAAGTAAACATTAAAATAATATAATCATATGACTTTTTTTTGATGTTAATCAATTATAAAAATAAAAACCCTAGATTCAGATAAAATTGTACTTGAATATTCATCGATGTCAAAATGTCGTTCATTTTGAATAGAAAACAATTAACTATTTGATAATTTTATATACATAACAAATATATCTTAAACGATGTTTCGTGATTTTACCATGCTGTAAAATAAGTTATGGTATACTAAAACATATAAATTGTTTATGTAGAAAAGAAACTTTTAAGTCTCAAAATATAGTTTCGAGATAATCTGAATTATTAAACAAAAGAATATATTATAAAACAGAAAATTATTCTTGTAAATGACACTCTTCTTGTAAATATCGTACAATCCGTTCATAACCAATTCCTTGACGTTGTACTTGAAAATATCCTTTTCGTGATAAATCAACAATAGTTGATCCACGTCGATCATTGGATGCTAATAGACCAGCATCAACAACTAAATCAACTTGTGACCATAATGATTTAAATTCTTCGATACAAACTGAACTTGGTTCATTGGAAATATTAGCACTAGTTAATGCAATAGGTTGTTTTAAACGTTGTGCTAAATCAATCATAAATTGACAATCTGGTATACGAATAGCTATATTAGTCACATTTGGATTGAAATATGAAGGTAATGATGATTGTCTTTCAAACATAAGTGTTACGGGACCTGGAAGAAGATTTTCACTGGCGAGTTGCTCTTTACTTAAAGTCGGTTTTGACCAAGTAAATACATCATCAATATTACCGACAGCCATTGCTAATGGTTTAGTAAATGATCGACCTTTCATTTCATATATTCGATGAATAGCTTGTTCACTATGAACTAATGCAGCAAGACCATAAATTGTATCTGTTGGTACAGCAATAACACCACCATTCTTTAGTATTGATATGCATCGATCTATTAGATCGATTTCATTAACTGATACCACATTAGTTGACATAATTTTATTTCAATGAAAAAAATATGATTTACTTTCAAATCGAACTTTTATTTATAGAATATATATATACATATATCTTTGAAGTTATACGAGTCATAATGGCAATTTCTGATGCAAAATATTGAAATAACATTGCGCAATCAAAGACTTATTCATATGACACTCGTTTTACAGCGTAATAAAAGACTGTGATCGATTCCCGATCATAGAAACAAATATTTCGTGACACATATTTGTACACTCGTTTGTTTTCTTTTTTTACTTTTTAATTATCTAATACCGTAATAAATTACAATTTTTTCTAGAGGTCGCTGTTATATGACAATAATATTAATATCTTACATTGAATAAATCAGCATTCAAATTGTACATTCATCAGACAGACTAAGATAGTTTAAAAAAATATTTTCTCTAATATAACAACTCAAGACATGTCTAAATATCTATGTACATTCAATACATTCTTTCATGTCTTTCGATATTGATCATTTCTGGTATGCACATTACATCACTCGACAAAACCATTTGAAAAATTATCATGACAACCTCTATCCTATATGAATCACATCCATCCTTTCTGTGTGTTAGATTTATATCTTATAACTAATGACATTTTTTTCGGAGTATTTACGTGAATGCAGCACATAGGATTTTTTTATTCATTAGCATCAATATCGATAAAATGTTTCCTTAATGTACACTATCAATCAGCAAAAAGCTCAGATCTTGCTAGACGTTAGGAAACATTATTCTACGGAATAAATCTAGCAGAAGACAAAAGTTACGAAACCGAGTGTCTGGATACTAAATTCGCTGATTCAGCTACTGATGTTTCAATTCATCATAGTAGATGAAGTATTTTTTCCTGACCACTAAAATTTGATCCGACACGAGTTACAGTGGATTATAAAATGAAGTGATTGTTTCGCTCGTATTGCATTCAAAGAATGTACTATCACATACAATACAAAAAAAAGAGAAAAAGAATAAATATTTGAATGTATGTGCATGACAAATTGTCCTAGAATACAGCCATGAAGAATGGGAATGAATGGAATTCATTATATTATTTAGTTTGCACTCGTTTATCTTTCATTTCTTGAACTTTCAAGATATTTTTTTTTCTCAATTCTAAATACATAAGTTTCATGATCTACATTATCTGAAATCAGACTGTTCTTTCGAACTATTATCTATCATCGAAATAAGCACTGTCATAACAGAGTTAAGACGAAATTATTAGTGCTCGTTCTACCTCTGATGGAAGGTGAAGATGCTACAACCATGCTTTACGTATCATTAAGAAATTTACTAACAGTTAAAAACATTCTTGCATCTCTTCGAAGAATCAACTAAATTCATACAACTTTTATCGAAATTTCTTGAATAGAAACAAAGAAAAAGAATAATATATCACAGGTAAACTGTTCTTGATTATATATTCAAAGATATTGATAAAGTTCTTCATCCAAATTTATCTGTCAAACTGCCATACACTAAAATGAACAAAATAATTATATATTACAAAAAATGAATGAGTACTGTTTTATTCATTGGCTTTTTTTATATAGTGAAATACAGTTAATTTGTACTTTTATATTTTTAACTGATACTATTAGATTTTTCCCTTTATCTTTTAATAGCATTGAAGATATGACGAGAAAATTATCTTACCTGAATTCGAAAGTGTGGTTGTCGATTCCGCCAATAATCAGAGTTCTCGAACATATCTTCGATATACGTTTCGTTGTCCGGTGATACATATTTGAAAAATCGAACTTGTAAGTATAAAAGATTAGGTAGACATTGTTCAATTAAATTTTGCCACTCTTCAGGGCCAAACATTTCCGATTCGATCTTTTCATACCACCAGCAACGTAATTCAAAATGGGTCAGACTAGGACATACAGATAAAAACTGGTAAACACATTTGAACGATACAGTTTTTTTAATATATAAGTCCAGATAAGTTAGTCTGGGAAGATTTAAATGAGACACATCAACATCTGAATTAAAGTAACTCATATAAGCTCTGAACATACAGATATTAGGCGTATGACAAAGAAATATAAACATTTCTTCATCAGATATATCCTTGAGAATAGCGTGTTCTAAACTAAGTAACTCAAACGAAAACTGTTTGACATCTTCCGATATAATTCTCAGAGGTACATTCAAATAACGAAGTTGATCCAAACCAGCAGTCGCAATCATTGACCAAATTCCTTGTCCGAAATTTTCTTTATAAGAATGTACGTGAAGATCTCTGATTGTAATAGATTCTAGTTGCATCATGGGCAATTGATGAAATAGTGATAGAATTAAAGAATAATTATTGTACACAAGTTCAATAGATCGAATGCCTTGAAAATTGATATTTGAACAAATTTTGTTGAAGAATTGTTCAGAAGCATAACTGACAACGAGTGATCGGCATTGGAATGGACCTTTTCTTCGTAAATTATGTCGCAATGCTTTCGTTAAATCAATGCATGCAGGATAAGTACGAATAACCTCGTTAAGACGATTTGTAAGACTAAAAAAGGCATCAAGTATTTGATCGAATGATAAATAATCGAAGATTTCGAATAATAATTCGTTACTGAAATCTTCAAAACACGTCATTGTCGTATAACAATGTGCATAAATAATAAAATATAGAGATAACCTTATCTATCGACACAACACATGTCGGAAGAAAACACAACATATTACTTTATTCTCACAGATCATAAAAGATCTTTGATGTATAATTCTTTTAATACGTAGACGAAGACCAAATCTCGCGTTGAATATTTTAGAAAATAGAAGCAAAACATATTGAACGTCTGCTACTTTAATTCTAGAACCTCGAAAGTTGTATATAATATTAATGATTATTTTATTTTATTTAAAATCAGATGGAGATGAATTACTTCAGCAAACACTGTTCTGCTTTGAACTTTAAATGCATTAGGTTATTATTGACATTGAAGTACAAGTTGTGCTATATAATTGGCATCATTTTTTTAGAATAAAACTGATAATTAGAACTATAAATTGACAAATTAGAATAGACAAATGTTGATGATGTAAAAATTAATCTTGAACGAAAAATGTCATCTTCTGTTGTTATTAACTTAATTAAATAAAACCAACAAAAAATAGAGAAACTAACATCTTTATAGTGGTTGATGTGCATGCAAAATATAATTGATAAATGCATCCAGACATAATTCAGATGAAACATTTTTTGCGCCTCATTGTCATTACTATAGAACTGTGTTCAAATATGTTCTACACTAAATCACAATTCACTTGAGATTCAAAGTGAGTCGTCATCAACATTGTACTATGATGGTCTTTATATCTACTCTAAAATATATGGATTTAATAATTGCTTGCAGCGATAAAATTCAAACTTGAACAGATGCATTAATGATCGGTGATCATATATGTTAATTCAAATGTTTTCATGTTTAAAATACAATAGAATTGATATTACACTCAACAACCTGATTTCATCAATGCAACAGCACTTATTTATCTGCATAAAATATTCAACATGTCGCATTATTTATTAGTTCTCTAATATACTCGATAATTTTCAATGGAGTGGCACATTATTTTTTCTATCTAATAGATATAACTAATATTACAAATGAAAAACATTCTCATTTACCTCCTGTTAGATTTAGGTAAGTAAGAAATAGTTTTTATATAATCGCATTTATATTGATGGTCATATTGAGTATCAAAATCTATGACGACACTCCAATTTCGCTTCAAACATTTAGAATAATATGAAAGTTATTAATAATTAATTTCTTTCATAGTCTAGTATAATAATCAGAAGAATAGAGTATTAGTTACATTTTAACTAATGATGTTATTGATCCAACTACGTTTAATAGCTAAATTTAGTAGATGCTTTTGACTATATAAAAGAAATTTGATATTCTAAGAATACGAAAGTATGTTTCGTAATACAAATATTTTTAGGCATTATACTATTCATACTTAAGAATACTATGCTGTAATACTCTTTGATTTTAATAATAACAACTGAAGAAGTATTCTTTCTTTTTTGTAATTGGAATTTGAATATAAGAAAATATTAAACTGTTTCATAATATTCATTATTATTCAAGCATATTATTTAATATAAATTAGAAAATGCTGCACAAATTGATACCTCTTGTGCTCTTTCTTTGTTTTCTTTTGATGTTTATAAATGTCTAAAAAAGAAAAGGTCAATGTCTATCTCATCAAAAGTAAGGATAGTGAAGTTATCTCATACTGACTATCATATTGTTGATAAATATAGACGATGCATATATTGATATTACTATTATACAATCATCAGTCAACTTACTAATTCGAATTGAAAAGAATTTCATCTATCTTGTCAAATAAAATAAAAGAAAAAGGTGTCAAATTGATGAAATAAGATTATGGAAAGACGAGAATAAAAAGAAGGAGATTTTTTTTGCTTCTTCTTCTTTCTTATTTTAATAGGAAAAAATAATAATAATGATGATGACATTTCTATTTCTACCTTCAAGTATAGTATAGCTTCCACAATTATAAGTAGGTTGATGATTATAACGCGTAAAATGAAAATGTCGTTGCTTCAAAAGTGATGGATCGATCAAGAATCTTTTTTTTTATAGATTCAATATAAATGTCAGTATTTTTTCTTCTTTTACTGATTGATGATGGTCAACTAAGAATAAGTCATACACATGCTATAAATTGTTTCCGATGTCATTGTTACGACCTTGATCGATCTTTCTCGTCAATATTTGAGAACGATTAGAATGTAAACGTATTGAGTTGAATTTTCTTCTCGTTAATATTGACATAAACATTGATGTTTCACAAACAAATTGTTCATTCTAGCGTATAATCAAAATAGATTTTTGCATTTCCTTCGCTTTTTCTTCTTCTTCTTCTTCTTCATCTTTCTAACAATTAAGTAATGTTCGTCGAGTGTATCTTTCTGTTTATCGTTATGCATAAATGCAAAAAGATTTATGATTAAACCATAAGATCTGCCTTGTTTCTTTCTTTCTTTCTTTCTGTTCCTCGTATATTTTCTCTCTATCTCGTTGCTTTCCACATCAGCAATTTCTGAGTAAAAAAAAACTTCTCGTTACTGCTACTACTACTACGATAAATGTCAGAACACTGTTGTTCCTTGTATGGTGAAGGAAGCAAAGAAAAGCGAATACAAATGTATAAACACATTTTGTGTGCATGCATTCCCGACAACTAAGTCAGCCTGCTGTTCGCTTAGATGACATGTTTAATTCTTCTTACTACGACTGATGTTACGATCGTCATTCATTGCTTCTGCCGCTCATGATGTCATTTGGTCATTAGCTAACAAACGATAGATTCTTCCTTCTCTCTCTCTCTATCCATCGTATTCCATAGATGGCTGTCGTACTACTACTTAAGGCATACTCGTTGTCGATGATGATGAGGTTATCGTTCGTTGTCGTTCTCAATCCATTTTTTGCTCAGATATATATATATATATATATCGTTCTTATACTATTCTTTCTATTCACGCACAAACTACAACTAGTAGAATAGCAGCGGATGCTGTGATGGTTGCACTCAGGAAATGCTTTTGAACAACATCAAGAATAGCCAGTAAAGAAAGATATAGAGAAAAAAAAGAAAACTTTAGACTTCAAATATCTATAGAGCCGTCGTCTTAATTGTAGCTTTATCTATAATAATACTATCGGTAAGTAGATGACTGCCCTTGTATACATTTAAAAGATTAGATCTCTTTTCTTCTTTTTCTTCTCTATGTCTCGACTTACTCTATTTCTAGGTGTGTATTTGTAGTAGATACAGAATAATTGCCAGAACACCACAATTTACACATGCACACTGTAATCGGACACTCGTGCACACACAACTATACGTTGGAAGGGTTAAATCCTTTCTACTATAGCCCCCTTCTCTTTCTCTCTCTTTCTAATCATACAATCATTGTGATTGAAAAATTTCTCTTCGATGTATTTTATTATGAAAATAATAATAATAGAGAGAAAAAATCAGAATGGCAATATTCTATAGTAATATTGAATTAGGAGAATAGCAAGAAAATCAATGATGTCTATCTATTGGGACTAATTCTCGCCGTACATATGCCAATAAATACTAAAGCGCATGATGACAGCCATTGTTGCCAAGTATTTGCTGTCAAATAACCAGGCATCAACATTTGCTCAATTTATGTTAGTAAAGGCGGTGAAACCATTAAGATGATGATGACGAGAAAACGAGAGAGAGAGAGAGAGAAATGAGTTCCTGTCTCCATTTTTATGACTTCTCCTTTTTTTTCTCTCATTGTTTTAAAAGCAATAAAAAATCGCAGTAACAGTCTTCTTCACAAGCTACTCATTGTAAAGCTCAGTTACTTGTTAAGATATTATAAGGATTGTATTATGAAATCGTATACTCAGTTCAATATTCTATACATATAGAAAGAATAGGGTGAGTAATCATCTATATATTGTATGTGTATATTCATATCAACAATAACAACAGTTGCTCCTTCTCAATTCTTGTGTCTCACTTCTTTCTCTTAGTCGTCGTATCTTAGGGTAACAATGTCGTATGCCCTATCGACCGTTCAATATCCTCACTTTCTTTTTTTTCTCTTCTCTTCTTCTTTTCTTTTCTTTAAGGGCATTGTTGCCTCGATAGAAAAGTAATGACTGTACACACATACATATACATATAAATATATATACATATACAGTATGAGAAGAAAGAACAGCCGATAAAAAAAAATTCTTTTGAACACAGACAAGCACCTCTACACAATTCATCGTCAATGTATGCATTCATTGATCTAGACCTAAACGTAGAATAAGAGCTATGAAAACAATTAATTTCTTTTCGACCAATTGATTTTTTAATAATACAAGTTTTATTGTCAATAGTTTTTGTTTACATGATGAATATAAGGTAGGTCGAATAAGTTAAACTTGATTTTAAATATCGATATAGACCAAAAAATATAGTTTTTTTAAGTTCATATATGATTTATACTATTTATATATGTGTTGATGAGCTAGAGCATTTTTGACAAGTCTTTTCATCTTATTGCGTTTTCTTTATTCTGTCGACGTAATAAGATAGATTATATTCATTAACATGCTTTTTTTTTGTTTTTATTTTAGCACTTTTCTTGATGATAGCATGAGCGCATTTTTTGTATGTAAAAATGGTCAAAATGTATCATGGGACTCAGTATGTGATGGTCGTAGACAATGTTCAGATGGTTCCGATGAACGAAATTGTAAGTTATTCGATAAATGATTTGATTATATAATATTGTTTGTTTTAAAATAATTTATTCGTCTTTTATTCTTCAACTAATTAATATGCAATATTTTAGGTTATTGTCAAGGTGATGTCTATGCCTGTTTACAAGGCAATAATGTTAGTTGTCGGATAGCATGTACTACATATGGCCGTGTTACTTGTTTAACATATCGAAATAATCTTGCTTGCGAACAGTATATTCGAGAACGCAGTAAGTTAAGCTATTAATGTGTCTCAATAGAGACATTTGTTTATTTTATCATAACATTTTTAGGTAGTACTTTTTCGGTTGATATTAATTCCGCCGGTGATTCATCTATATCATCGAATAGTTTTGATGCACTTCGATATTCAGGTGAGCAAAAAAAA